GAGGAGGAAGAAGGAGACGGTCATGGCTACGGTGGACCTCGTGTTGTGCTGGCAGTAAAAGGGAGACTCGGATATTGGTTCCGGCTCAGCCATTCATTGTTGCTATCATCTTTTGTTATTAGAGAATAAGCTTGGGGGCAGTGTTGCACACGCCGACCGTCGGCGACCCTTGACTGGTCGACTGCCGACCCGCCGACCGGTCGGCTGGTCGGCACCTACCAGTCGGGGGTCGTCAGCACCCCGCGAAAAAAAAAATAAAAAATAAAAAAAAATTGTTTTTTTTTTCCCGGTCCAGAACCCCTGATAACCCCACAAACACCCCCATACCCACCCCAAATACCCCCATACACCCCCCCAAACCCACAAACCGGCCCCCAACACCCTCATAACCCCCCCCAATACCCCTATACCACCCCTATACCCCCCTATATACCCCTATACACCCCACCCCCAACCCCCCCATCCCCAAAAGTTTCTCAGCGGATTTGGGCTGTACTCAGCAAGCGCAGNCACCCCACCCCCAACCCCCCCATCCCCAAAAGTTTCTCAGCGGATTTGGGCTGTACTCAGCAAGCGCAGTACAGCTTCCAACTCAGATCTGAAAAGAAATTAGTGGATGGCTGTTTTCTGACTGGTCGGCAGACCGCCGACCGGTCGGCCCTACTGGTCGGCTGCAATACGGTCAGCGGTCGGGGTCGGCGGTCGGCAGGGATGCAACCATGCTTGGGGGTGATAAGGAGGAGGAGGAGGAGGAGGAGTGGCAAGAGAAGGGAGATTTGTCCTTGCTGTACTGCTGGTGTACATCTTCTTCTTCTTCTTCTTCTTCTTCTTCTTCCTCCTTGGTCTCTCTTTCTCCTTTCAAGTTCTTTCATTTCTTTTGCAATTGAACAGCATTGTCTTTTCTTGTGTATTTGCACTTTCGGATCAGCCATGATCATAACACTGCACACACACACACAAAAAAAAAAAAACAAAAAAAAAACGGAAAAGCATTGTGTGGGAATATGAGTCTTACACATATGCAAGAAAATGAGAGAATGCGCATGTGCGCCTGACAAGTTGTGACAATACAATTGAGTAAACCAAATTGCTGAATTGCAAAGACGTCCAGATACAGATAACTTGCGCAGAGATGGAAGCAGAACGCAAACGAGAGCACGCCAACTCAGCAAGGAGTAAACCACTCACATAACATGATTATGAAACCCACCTCCTCCTCCTCCTCCTCCTCCTCTTCTCACCTCCACTCATCAATATCAACAGTGTAGCCCTTCCGACTTGGCAATCAGCACCCAGACTACCTATATCCTACTCCTATGACAAGTTGGGCCTCTTATTCTACAACAGGTCAGTCCTGAAGATCATCAGCCCGTTGAAGACAAGAAGACTCCGAGTGGACGGGCCCGCTCCTGCTGCCAGATGAGAGGTCTTGCCACACACGTCCCTCCCACAGCCCCATGCCCTAGCACCTCTGCTTCCGTCCTTTGGTGAGGCGCCAATGCAGCGTGGCTATGGCTGGCTGCCAGGCGCTGCCTCGCTGCTACCTCGCAGCTTTCTGACTGGCAAGCCCCCCTTGCGCAGTTTTTTTTTTTTTTTTGCGGATTCTGACACATTATTTTCTTTTTTTGTTCACAACTTTTTTTTTTTGCCGATTCTTTAATCAATCGCGCCTAGGCTACCAGAGTGGCCAGGGTCCACTTGCCTGGCCGGGCCAAAAAATTATAAATAAAATAAAAAATTAAAAAAATATTTTTTAGTTTAAATTTTTATTTTAAATTTTCTGCATAACCCTAGGGAGATATCCCGGGCGCCCGGGTCCCGATGTCACGCCCGGATTGGCGACCGGGTGACCGGCCGGGCAACCCCCGGGCATGGCCCCAGGCAGCCTCAGCGCAAAAAAAAAAAAAAAAATCTAATCCAAAAAAATCTGAAAAAAACTTATGTTGTGTAGAATTGCAATACAAACAACTTCTGGCTGAGGGTCACATCAGAATTCCTCACAGAACTAAAGATAAAAAAGAAAATAACCATATCACACGAAGGCACCCCCCTTTAAACCATGGTAACCGCGGACCCGGACACTTCCGGACTGTCTTCCGGACCAGTGTCTGGACCGGTCCGGACTGTCCGGTGATCCGGACATCACCAGACACCGGACATAACCGGACACCGGACATTCCGGACCGGTCCCCGGGGTGCAAACAATGTCCGGACCAAAAAAAAAACAAAAAAAACACCGGGGGTGGGGGAGGGGTTGGGTGGGGGTGTTGGCAGGCACTTACCTGCAGCAGAGCACATGTCTTGCAGCAAATCAACCACCACATTTAACTAGCAGACGTGCAGAGTTGCAAACAGTGCAAAGCAGGCACAAGACTAAAGAAACAGAGAATCTTTTTTTGAAAAAAGTATGATTAACTTTGGACTTTGAACTTTGGATTTAGTAACTTAAGTTCATAAGTTCATATATAACTTAAAAGTTCGAACTTCACAGTTCAATTCAGAACGTCAGAGTCTTAAGTTCATAACTTCACATATAACTTAAAAGTTCAAACTTTGCAGTTCAATTCAGAACGTCAGAGTCTTCAGACTGGCAGCACTGTCAGTGCTCTCTCTCTCTCTCTCTCTCTCTCTCCCCCCCCCCACCCCAACGGGCAGCAGCAGCTAGCTCCACGTTGAAACGGTCGCTTTGAAATTGCTCGGGCCTGTGCGAAACCCGCCACCCCAAAAACCTGCAGTGTCTTGTGTCTGGACCTCTAGGCCCTGTCCGGTGGGGTGAAACGACATTGAAAAATCAGCCCATTATTTTTCTAGGGGCGGCCAGGACCCAGTAAACGTCCTGGGCCGCCCCAATTTTTTTTTTTTTTTTTGCCCCAGAGGCCTCAATCCAGACATATTGTCCAGACACCGGACACCAGACACCGGACACCAGACACCGGACACCAGACACCGGACACCGGACTGTCTGGAACCCGGTCCGGACGTCCGGGTGGTTACCATGCTTTAAGCCCCTTTAGCCCCTTTAAATTTCATTTACACTCCCCTTACCCCCCTTGACAGCCAACACTCAAAAAAAGAAAAGAGCCCGGATTTGGGCTCCTCTCRGAGAGCGCGGAAAAACCCCACCACCATTTTTTTTATTTTATTTTTTTGGCCATGACTGGGTCACCCGGGCGTCACGCCCGGGTGACCGGCTGGTCCGGTCATGAAAATCTTCCTAGGGCATAACCTAGTTTTTTTCCGGATTTTCTGGGTTTTACGGATTTTTTAACTTTTTTTTTTTTTTTTTTTTTTGGTTGGTTGGTTGGCACCTTCCCTGGTCCTTGCACTGCCGGCTGGGCCGCCCGGGAAAATAGGGAGACCCGGGCGGCCCGGCTGGTAGCCTAGAATAGTACGCATTACTTTCTTTTTTTTTCTTTTTTTTCCTTTTTTGCACTGGGGCTGTCTGGGACCTTGTCTGCAGCTTCGCCCAGACCTYGCCCAGCTGAGCCACCCATGCGGTCCGGCTGGTAGGGGGGGCCGGGGGCAAGGGGGCAGGGGCATAGTTAGGGTGCACGCACACACAAAGCGGCATGCACGTAGTCTCTCGTAGACAAAACAGCAAACACCCGCAGAGCGGGACGTCAATTAGGAAAGGGTAATATCGTGTACGTCTCATCCCGTCGCGCACCACCTTCGTTCCGTTCCGTCATTCCCTATGAACCGCCGCCAATCATTCCGGCAAAACCAAAAGGTGGCGGTCCCACCAGCTAACAAGCGCTAGCTCGGGGAGACTGCCAGGCAAGTCTGTCTGCTGAGTGAGAGGACTAGAAAATACGAAATGGTAGATATATAGTATATATACCAATTGAATTCCACCCAGCGCGTGCAGGGTCCCCTTTTTTTTTTTTTTGAGGATTACAATTGCAAGGAATATTAGTGTGAACGATATACAGAAAACCAAGTTGCGAAATCACACAGATGTCCAGGTAGTCGTGTCCAAGCAGAGAGTACAAAATGCACGGAGAAACCATCCATATAGAGCAATACAATGAAGTAATGAGCCAATGTTCAAGCCCGTAGGCCACACCAACACAGTATCCAAAGTCGCTCCTCTCTGTCTGGGGCCCAGCGCCCAACAGTCCCAACCTACTCTGCCCGACTATCCTACCTACAGCTGGTTCACGCAACAGGATCACTTCGACTCTCGAAGACCAATGTACATGACTGCCAACACCATCGCTGACCTCTCTTCATGCACCAGGTACGTATCTCGTCACCCTCAATCAGACCTTGATTACCCCACACTCGCCTCCGTCTCTGAAGACCACCAGATCGCCCACTGCACCCCCCTGGCGCCCAGCAGCCTGGCTATGGCTGCCTGCGCCCCGCTGCCCTGCAGCGCCCCTCCTCACCACTACGCGCCCCGTCAGCGCCTTTGGCAGCAGCGCAGCATCAAGCGAGAGCGCAGCAGCACTTCCGCATTGCCAGCACTTGCCAGAATGCCTGGCCTGGGCTGCCTCACTTCTTTTATGGAAGTGGCAGCCTCCTGTATGCTGCGTGTGGCCTGGCTGGAAGCTTCCAGTAGCTTCCGGTTGGGCCTCAGACCCTGCGCCCAGCCCCGAGACTACAGTTGAGGGTCTGGGCCCTTTTCAGTTGGGCACGGCCTGAGTCTCCGGACTTGGGCTGTTTGCTGCATCTGTGCAGGGCTCCCAGGCAGATGCGTAGGCAGTTCTCCTTTACCAAATGTATCGGCCCTGCTTTGTGTGTATGTGCCCAGGCGCAACTGTCAAGGCCTGGGCCAACTGTATGACGCAGCTTAGTGAGGCTCGCGCGTCTACCCAACCAACCGGCGTGCTGCGAGAGCCTGAATACCCACATATGGAAATGTCGAATTTTTGGCCTCTGACGAATATTCAGGCCCGCCTTCACTAGGGCGGGCACTCGGCTTGCTGGGGGCCTTAGCCCAGAACACGTGATGTCTGATAGGGCCCCTTGAGGACTTGTTCCTCACACAATTCTCTGTATCATGTCTATCTTCATTTAAAGTCTGAACTCTGAAAAAAAAAAAGAAAAAAAAAAAAGGGAAGGGTTCGTGGTACTTCATACCGACTCATACTGCGCCATTCCTCGATCCCTTCGGGTAGGTTCTGGAGAAAGTTCTGGAGAAAGTTCTGGAGAAGGTTCAGCAAAGGTTTCTTTCTCCTGCACACATTCCATAGAAGACCAAGTGCAGAGCATATGAAATCGATAATTATTGATTAATCATGTAGAATTTAAAATTTAAACTGTTCAAATTATGAATTGATTACAGCCGAGCGTAGCACAGCTAGATGAGGGCCATGACTCTCTCTCTCTCTCTCTCTCTCTCTCTCTCTCTCTCTCTCTCTCTCTCTCTCTCTCTCTCTTTTGCTAGGGAAGTAGGAGAATTCGTTGGAGAAGGATTTCGACACAAACCTGAGGAGCAACACGAGGGCTATCCTTCAGCAAGTCGACTGACAGCATTGTGCTTGTGGGCTCCTCTGCAGCCTGGAAAAAAAAATGATAAAGAAGTTTAAAAAAAAAAAACGCAACAAAAGACAACAAGCAGGTGTTAAGCAGCTTAGAACTATGTAAACATTGAAAAAAGAAAACAAAAAATTCAATAACAAAGATTGGGACCAAGAGGCATCCTCGCCGGCATAGGAGCATACTTGCACAGTGCGCACTGACTTTCCTGGGCGTATCTGACTGGCAATGCGGCCACATCCAACAGTCGAGTATCGTACGTGCGGTGTGGCTATGCAGTTGCAGTATCGTGATTGAGGTACCATTGCAATGAACCTGGCTCAAATCCAGCACAAAAACATGCACCTGAAGTCTGACCGTCAGAGTCATGTGTGGGTACGAGAAATAGGTCTACGGGATCCAAGCATCCGTCAGTAGGGCCGTCGGTTCGCGCAAAAAGAAAAAAAAAAGAAGAAAAAAAGAAAAAAAGAAGAAGGCTGTCCGTTCCACAGAATCGACACAATATGGTCTAGTCCATGTCTGGGTCAACGACCTTTAAGGATGCAGCCCTTTGACCAACACACCGACCCTTTGACTTTTCCCATGGTCAAAAGCTACAACCCCCCATCTGTCTCTCCATAGTTCCCTGCAAAGTCGTAGCTTTTGACCAAGACAAAAGTCAAACGGTCGTAGCTTTTGACCAAGCCAAAAGTCAAAGGGTCGGTCGTAGCTTTTGACCAAGCCAAAAGTCAAAGGGTCCTAGCTTTCGACCAGGCCAAAAGTTAAACGGTCATATCTGTTAACTTTTAACCAAGCCAAAAGTCAAACGGTCATATCTTTTAAGTTTTAACCAAGCCAAAAGTCAAACGGTCATATCTTTTAACCAAGCCAAACTTCAAACAGTCGTATCTTTTGACCAAGCCAAAGTCAAAGGGTCGTAGCTTTTGACCAAGCCGAAAGTCAAACGGTCATATTTTTTAAGTTTTAACCAAGCCAAAAGTCAAACAGTTGTAGCCTTTGACCAAGCCAAAAGTCAACGCGTCCTTGTCTTGGTCAACAGAGTGCATTTGCTGACCTCAAGTCGACTTTAACAAAAAAAAGAAAGAAAAAAGGAGTGCGTCGGCAAAGCCAACGGTTCCATGTCTAGGTGTGTGTCTCTGTAGCCGCCTACAGAGTCCAAGGAGGGGCCACAGAGAGAGCATTGCAAAAGCTTGCAAAAGTCAGCGGGTCGCAGCTTTTGCGAGGAATGAGCCCTTGCGCCGCTCGCGGGGGGCTTATCGGACATGCACATGATCTGGAATGTGGCCCCCCCAAGCAAGCCCCCTGTGCCCGCCCTAAGTGAAGGCGAGCCTGAATATTCACAACAAGAGGCCTAAATTTAACATTTTTTCCATGTGTAGCTACTCAGACAGTTGCAGCACGCCGCCAGCTGGTGACAGGGAGACGTGAGCCTCCAGGCTCTTTTCCGGAAACAAGGGCGGCGCTGCACAGTTGAGCGCAGGGCCGGGTGGTTGCGCGCTGGGCACACACATTGTGAGGCCAACACATCACAACGGAGTGGCCGCGGACGAATGCGAAAGCAGTATTGCCGTCGCACAACTGCCGCGAGCCGATGAGAATGCGGCAAACACTTGTGCCTGCACGTCAGCCGGGAGGGAGCCTAACCGAAAAAGGGCCCAGGCCCTTAACTGTAGAAGTGGGCCTGGGCGCAGACACTGGGGCCCGACTGGAAGCTACTGGAAACTTCCTCAGCCAGGCCCGCGCACACAAAAGGAAGGCTGCACTTTCCGTAAAGGAAAGTGCTCCGGCCTGAGGAAGGCATTCGGGGCTTAGCAGGCAATGTGTGTCCACGCTGTTGCACTAGTGTCTGCATTAGCTGGCTGGCCGAGCGCGCTCACGGGGGCTGAGGTGAGCGGCACTGCAAGGGCAGCGGGGCGCACAACAGTGTAAGGGGTCGTAGCCATAGATCGGAGCTCTTTTTCTTTTTTTTTTTAAAAAGGGAAAAAAAAGGGGTGCATTTTTTTCAGTCCCAGTGGGTGGTGAAAATTCGGTCACAGTCTCACAGAATCCGAAGAGTCTCGAGTAAGTCTTCTGGTTGGCAGGCCTCCAGAAGTCAACGCAGGCCAGGGGAATATCAACAGTAAGGACACGAAAAAAAAAAGGGGGG